CACGCACGAGAGAACAAAACACAGCTGGAGTGCGTTTTTAAATTAACAAACGTAAAAAACCATAGATCCCGATCGGGATATTAGAAAAGCCGTATATCCCGATCGGGCTATAGAATTATAGCCCGATTGGGATATAATTCTATAGCCCAATCGGGATATATATCCTGATCGGGATATATAGCCCGATCGGGATATGCTTCTACACTGTCAGATTCTACCTAGCATTTTCTTTTCAATACTGGACTACGATCTCTCCTTCTTCCACTCCTTTCTCTTCTTCTGCTTTTAAACTATTTTTCTTTTCTTTCTTTATCTGTTTGTGTATTCTACCACTATCTTTTTTTAACCATCGTTGGTCTCCATTGATGACTGATTCTTGTTTTATTGTTGTACGATTTGTTGGCAATAGAATATACACTTTCTAACTTTTTTCGTTTGAAAATGTTTGACTCATTGTCGAAAATTACACTCTCTTCGAATTTGATTTCTTTTTACATGCAGCAGCATGTTTAGCTATCTCTGACAATTCAACTTTTTCTTTGGCTACGTAATTTTTATGCTGTTTAACTCTCCTGTCGAAACACTCACTTTCACCTACATACACTGAGCTACATTCGTAGTAAATGCCATAAATAGCATTTTTGCATCCTATACAATTTTTTGATTCCTTTTTAAGTTGGTTGCATGCTACCATTCTAGTTTTATTCAAGATATCTCCCATATTCTTTGAGTGTTTTGTAAATGTTCGAACATTTTCTTTCCTCAAATTTTGTTTAAGCTTTTCTGTCATGCCTTTCAAGTGTGGTATAACTACAGTGGATGTATATATCCCGTTATCCTTGTTCTTACTGTTGTGGTTTTTCCTAATGTTTCTAACTTTATTCTTTATAGTTTTTGTGGTAGAGTTAGGATAACTACTATTTAGCAATAATTGACAAAGAGCTGTGATGTCTGATTTGTTAGTTTTCCAATAAAATCAGTCCAATGAAATAACAGAGTTAAAGAAAAGTGCTTTTTCGTATTCAGCACACTTGATAATCACGAAAATTTTCTACTTTTAGCGAGAGGTACCGCCAAAAAGTTAAGAAAAATTTTCAAAATTGTATAATTTTGCCATGGAGATTTTTCTGCGTCACTTTGTTTGAAAATTTTTCTTAACTTTTTGGCGGTATCCCTCGCTAAAAATAGAAAATTTTCCAGGTTATCAAGTGTGCTGAATACGAAAAAGCACTTTCCTTTAACTCTAAAGAAACTTTAATTTTTTTTTATCGGTGATATGAAGACGTTTATAGGCGGAGAGTCATCCTTTCCGCTTGAAGAATAGATATCTCTTGCTGCTGGACACTAGTTTACCGCCTCTGTTATTTGCACATATTTATAATAAAGAAGCCCGGCACTGCCATAAATTAGTCCATATTTTACATGGTTTTTGTCCCATTGAAATAATTCAAAATATAGAACATTCTGTAACATTTTATAGCTAGTTTGTATTGGTCAAGTTGACAGTGAATATCACCCAAAGCAGTGTATGAATATGAAACATCGTTAAGAAACTTGGCTGACGCACTGAGTTCAGCATTGATTGTCTTTTTAGCATATTCATATGCTTTATCTAATTCTCCAACCATGATATAAAATAGTCGCATTTGAGCATAAATGAAGGGAAAAATGTTTTTTGTGCACGGTTACAGAAAGGTACACGGCAAAAAGACAGAAATGTGCACGGAGACGTTTTTGTGCACAGTTTTTCAAGGAGTAAAAGATATTTTGTCGTTTTCTCACCCTAAACAAATAGGATGAACTACGAACAGACGTCTCGTTTAATACGAACGAGACTTATTGACTGAAATGTTCGATAAATCTTAAAAATTGGTGTAGAGTGAATTTAAGAATTATTGTGTGTTTATGTAAACAAAACCTTAAACTATATGTTTGTAAACATGCAGTAGGATTTATGATTCACCTTAATCTTTATGTTATAGCTGATCCAGCTAAATTACAAGTGTTAGGAAAACGGCGTGGACGTCCAAAAAAGGCAGGAAAAGCATTAAGTCGATCATAAATTTGGTGAGAATACTAAAAGAGGATTTTTATTTGTAAATAGCTACATGCTATATTTTTTTGGATAAACAAAATTTAATAATCAAACAACAGGGTATAGCTCGTTCTTCAAAAAGCGTGCACAGAAACGTCTCAGTGCACATTTCTGCCTTTTTCCGTGCATCTTTCTGTAACCGTGCACAAAAATGTCAAAAGATTTTTTAGTGCACGGAAAACAGCAAACCGTGCACAGAAAAATCCTCGTCCATAAATGAACCTTTTTAAGATTGAGTGGTCGAGTGCTTTATTGAGATGTTTGAGAGCGTTTTGATATTCATGATTTTTTAAATAGAGAGTGCCGGTTGTAAAGTATACTTCTACATTCAAATGATTTTTACAAACATCAATTCCTGTTAGACAGTAGTTTAACGCTTGTTTATAAGCCCATGGTTTTGAAAACTGGAAAGAACTTGCGTGAATGCTGTATGATATCCCAAGTATCTTATAATTTATTGGATTGCATAACAATCCATATCTGATCGCTTCTTGTGCGTAAATAGTAGAACTCTCACAATTTTTCATCGTGCCGTATATGTTTGTTGCAGACTGATACGTTATGGCCAAGTCATCATTGTCTACTGATTTTGTATTGTGTAAAAACGTCAATGCAATTCTATACTTTGAAATCGATATTGTGTAATTGTTTTACCGACGGTAAATATTAGCCATTGACCAATAATACCGACCAAGGTCATTATAAAAAGTTGAAAAAGCAGTCCGTTATGGAATTACCTTCGTTACGAAATTACAGCTTTTTTTGGTTCTTTCAAATCAGAAAGTTAAACTCCATTACAAAAGTCGTCATACAAAAATATTTTCGATAACAGTAGACAGTATCTAATCTGATCTTTCCGATGCGCTGTAGAAAAATGTTTTGAAATCGTTTTGACTTGGAGAAAAACCCGTTTCAAACCTTGGTCTTTCGAAAAGCCAACTTTCTTGGAAAGCGCCTAAACTCAAAAATAAATATACCAATCTTGTAGAGAATTAATTTTCTACAAAATGTCATATCTCTTAATTTTTTCGCAAAAGTATCTAGGTCAAGAAATTAAAAATATAATGAAAAACATAAAAACATTTGAATTTAATTTTTTGGAAATTTTAAGTTGATATTCGAAATCAGCTTCAAAAACTACGTTAGACGATGTGCTTCACAAATTCTTAAAGTTAAAAAAAAATTTTCGAACCATCTTAAGTGAAGGTGACCGTTAGCTGGAAAGGCCGAGTAAGCTAAATGATAAAGGATATTTTCGCATTCGATACGAAGATCTTCAAACTCTCAGAAGCTTTTTCCTAAGAATTTCTATAACATATTGAATGAAATAGATTTGAAGTCTTTTTTTCTTTTTTCGCCTAATATCGTCCAAGGAAGTAATTGACGTTGGCGAATTTTCCAGAATTATTTAAAATAAAAGATTGGTAAGTTTAAAAGAACGGCGGATGTTAGATGCAAACACGAAGAAAAACCTTTCTCTTTCTAATTCAAACCAATTAAACAACTTATAGGAATTTACCAAATTAGATTGTATAAAGATATCTCAACTGAATATGATCCTGGCTTGCAATACGAAACTGCGTCTTATTGTCGTTAACGAGCCCATGTCCTGCAGAAAGTTTATATCTGTACAAGATCTGTCAAGTTTCTTGATCTCAAAGAATGTTCAACAATTCTTGTCAAGATCTTGTCAAGTTTTTTTGAGGAATCTGCCTGCAAAAATCTTGATCAAGATCTTGACAAGATTTGAAAACTTTTTCGTAATTAACAAAGTCTTTGCTAACAAAGAAAGTAAGCGATCATTTTGATTACGACATGACTCAGAGGTTCGACAAAAATGTAAATATGCCAACGTTACATTTATGTATAGTAATGGTAGCACTATAGTGTAGAGGACTTCTGCTAAAATTCTGTTGGTCGAGAGAATAGACAAATAAACTTGTTGTTCTTTCAATCACCATTTTGTTTGATATTGTTCTTGCATATATATATAAGAGTAAATACTTGCACTATAGAACATTGAAAATTTTGAAAGTGAAACTCAAACATTGTTATATAACAAGGTAACGCTCGTCTCCACTCGCTCGGTCCCTTGACTTTATTAAGTTGGATCTGCGCAAGCGAACGTCCTTTGGTGACTTTTAAATCGAACACAATGCTCATGCCTCCCTTCTTTCGGCGCTCGCTGGGGGCCTAAGTAAGGCATCTTCTGGAGTTTTGTTCATTTTTTATGTATAAGGTTCGTAGTCTGATATTAATATATAACGGTTGCTGAACTATTTGCGTCTTTGCATCAGTAAATATTTCAGATGATCTCTTTGATTATTTTCTCTCTTATGTAAAAAATAATTGTCTACTGTTGTCTCTTGTGATTCGCTTATCCATAGAATATCTGACAGCCATTTTTCCGTATTTTGCGCACACACAAACACACAGACAACCATTTTGTAAGACCCTAGACTAAAGTCAAGGGAAAAAGTAGAAAATAAAGTTTAAGATTTTCTTTCAAATTCCCAAATCTGTTAATGAAGATCCTGATTATTGCGTATATAAATTAATCATTTCAGAATTTTTGAGATATCTTTACAAGATCTGTTCAAGATTTATCACAACAGATTCTAAATTAGAAGCTGTTTTGTATTAGAATTTCTAATACAAAACTTGTGGAAAATCTTCAGCATTCCCTTCCATTCAGAATCTTGACAGATTTCGCTAAATCTACACAAGTTCTTGAAAGATCTGGGGCGAAAGTTGAGAATTCTTTAAAGATTTATCAACATCTGCATTCAAGATTTTTCTCCTGGAGAGACTTCCACTAGTATTGCTTCTGGATGAAATCGACAACAAGCCAATTGTTTTGTATACGAATGAAGTTGTTTTTCTATATTTTGAATAGTCGAAGTCTTTCTCGTTGTAATTGCATCGCTCAGTTCGTTAAGAGTATTTCTGAGTTCTTCAAAGGAGGATTTTGAACTGGATGATGATGATGATTGCAAAGCGTTTTCAATTTGAATAGTTGAACAACTCCTCAAAA